TTTTTGAGACAGAGTCTCGCTCTTCGCTAGGCTGGAGTGCAGTGGCGCGATCCCAGCTCACTGCAACTTCCGTTTTCTGGTTTCAAGCAATTCTCCTGCCTCAGCCACCCAAGTAGCTGGGACTACAGTCACGCAACACCACGTCTGGCTAATTTTTTGTACTTTTTTTTAGTAGAGATGGGGCTTCACCATGTTGGCCAGGATGGTCTCGAGCTCTTGACCTCATGATCCGCCCGCCTCAGCCTCCCAAAGTGCTGGGATTACAGGCGTGAGCCACCGTGCTGGGCTAAAAATGTGCATTTCTAACAAGCTTCCAGACAAGGCTGATGCTTCTGATCTGGGGACCATACTTTAAGAATTACTGCTCTACATACAAAGAGGTGAAGAACAAAGACTCTGGAGCCAGATGGTCTTGTTTTCAATACTGGCCCTGCATTTACTAGACATGTAATATTAGGCACATTATTTAACTTCTCCGGGTCTCAATTTCCTCCTCTTTAAAATGGCAGTAGTAACAGTACCTACCTCATTGAGCTGTTGTGAAGATTAAATGAGTTAACACATAAAAACACTGTAGTGGTCAGGCGCAGTAGCTCATGCCTATAAACCCAGCACTTTGGGAGGGCGAGGTGCACAGACCACCTGAGGTCAGGGGTTCGAGACCAGCCTGGCCAACATGGTGAAACCCCGGCTCTACCAAAAATACACAAATTAGCTGGGCATAATGGCACATGCCTGTAGTCCCAGCTCCTCAAGAGGCTGAGGTATGAGAATCTCGTGAACCTGGGAGGCAGAGGTTTCAGTGAGCCAAGATCATGCCACTAGACTCCAGCCTGGGGCGACAAAGCGAGACTCTGTCTCAAAAAACAAAACAAAATAAAAATACTTTACAACAGTGCCTAAAAAGAATGCAAGCAAAGTATCAGCTGCTATTATAATCATTACTTGCCTCTCACACTATATTCTTTTTTTGAGACAAGGCATTACTCTGCTGCCCAGGCTGTACTCTGCAGTCTCAACCTCCCAGGCTCAAGTAATCGTCCCACCTCAATCTTCTGAATTGCGGAGACTACAAGTGCATGCCACCACGCCTGACTTATTTATTTATTTATTTACTTACTTATTGTAGAGATGAGGGTCTCACTATATTGCCCAGGCTGGTCTTGAACTCCTGGGCTCAAGCAATCCCCCTGCCTCCGCCTCCCAAAGACTCTTCTTATGGAATGCTGAGGTCCCAGTTCATTTACACTAGGGCAAAGGTCCCAGCTCAGTTACACCAGGGCAAAGGTGAGCTACCATACCTGGCCCCACACATAATCTAAGTTCCTTAAAAACAGGGACAATATCAAATGCATTGCTGTCCTCCTTTAGTGCCTGGCACAGGCTGTGCCTAGAATGATCAATAAATTTGGATTTAACTGAAATTTACCTGAATCAACAAGATGGCATCAAAAAGCTCTTGGAAAAACTCTCAAAAAAAAAAAAAAAAAAGGTCTCAAAAAGACCTCTGTCCTGATGTAACTGAGCTGGAACCTCAGCATTCCATAAGAAGAGTGACTCCCCTATTCTAAATACCATCATACTTAACTTTGTGCAGACAGTAGTCACTATTCTGACCCATCTCCAAAGCAGCTAGTGAAGTGAAGCCTGGTCCCAGCCTCTCAAAGTCTTTCTGCAGCGCGTACTCATAATCAGGGATTTCACTCTCAGCTAGGTGAAATGGCAGAGTAAAATGGAAATCCGGATAGCATTTGGCTTTTT